ACTTCTTTCTTCTCTAATGTGTCTAATAGTTATACAGACAAAAATTAACAGCATTTGGGACAGACTGGTTAGCTCACTTGGGGAGAGTATGGTGCTGATAACACCAAGGTCACGGGTTTGGATCCCCACACCGGCCAGCTGCAAAAAAAAAAAAAAAAAAAAAAATCAGCATTTCTTTTATGTCAAATGGTCTAATGGGCAAAGAAAAAATTCTACAAAAATGGAACTGACAAATCACTGATTGTATTCACAAACTTTGTGCACATGTGTATACACACTTTGTGCATATGTGTACACACAGATACACACATCCCTGCTTTTATTTGGGTCTGTACAGGTGATGTGTTTGACCACCAAGGCTCTTTATTATGAATTTTCCTTTTTTTAGATGAATTTTCACTTTGTACATACTCTCACATAGCTCCTCTTTTGACCCACTGTTTTAGACACTATCAGCTTTAGACACTTGTCAGCTATCTAAAGTAAGAGACATGACCTATATTAGTGAAACATTTTTTTTCTGTATGAAATCAGTTGATTAGTGGTGCCAATTTTTGGCCTGTTTGGCTTTATCTTCTTTTATTTTGGTTCCTCGCTGTTTTTTCAGAGGCTGACCTCTGCAGGCTGCATTTTCTAGGTACCCTATCAGCTGGCCTCTAGCTGGCTTCATACAAGGAGAGGAATTGGCATAAAGGTAGTTTAATGTGGGGGAACTTCAACTGAAAGAAGACAGAGAATGTGGAGGGAAGCTCCATCCATCCGTGTATGTATCTGTCTGTGCTATCCATCCATCCATCTCTTAATGACCACAGCCCAGGTGAAAACCAGGAGGGAGTTTTGTGATTGCTTTGTCTAATCATAGTTTTGGTTGAAAAGGACTGGAGTAGCTGTTTCTCTTCCCACCTTCCAGGTAAATACCCTCTCTCACTGTGCCTCTTTCTCTAATTGAACTCACCTAACTTATTTCTGTTCTGCCTAAATCCTTAGGTCCAAGAAGTAGTACAAGCAAAACCCTGTTGCAAGAGGAAATATGGTCCATTTGAGGAACTAAAAGAAGAGTATTATGTTAGGAACATTTAACAGTTTCCCAGTTAACAGAGTGCTTTTCTTTTGTTTGTTTTGCTCTTTTTCATTCATATATATCTTTTTTTTTTTTTTTTTTTGCAGCTGGCCAGTACAGGGATCAGAACCCACAACCCTAGTGTTATAAGGCTGTGCTCTAACCAATTGAGCTAACTGGCCAGCCACATTCTCATGCATTCTTAACTGAACTTGAATGCCCATCCAAACTAACAGCTTTTACCTTTTTATTTCTTTGGTTAAACTCAAAGGATTAGAGAATTTCATACACAAAACAGCCATATATATCTATATACCTATATAGCTATCTGTCTTTATTTATCTACCTACCTATGTATGATTTAATGTAGCTAATTTATTTGTCTCTCTCTCTCCATCTCTATTATCTGTCTCTATATCTTCTATCATCTATCTCTGTATGTCACCTATCTCTATCTACCATATCATATCTATCTATTCTATTTATCTGTTTATCATCTATAAATCATCTATCAGTTTATCTACCTGTGTGCCTATCTACCCATCTGCCTATGTATCTGTGTATCTATCTGGATGTGGCATTACGCTGACCCACAGCTGAATGTCTTAACTACTGCCTTGTTATGAAGTCTAGGTCAGCATTAGCCTGGACATTATGAACTTGAAGGGCTTTCCTCCTTTCTGAAGGCTGCAGTCCTGCTCAAGCAAGCCCACATATCTATTGGAACTTTCAAAGCTTGTGTGTGCTCCAGGCCAGAAGGATGGAGACATTGTCTTTCTAAACATTTCAGTGACATTAGACTCAGTTTTAGCCCCAGATCTCTCACTTAGCATACATTTTATGGTAGGAATACTGTCCTAGGAATACAGAGATGAATTAGACTCTGCCATCTGAATTGATGACCTGTTGGCGAGATGAGGAGAGTGAAGGGGGTATGTACCCTTGCGGGTGGGTGGTGTGGGCTGGATGCTGGGCTCAGGGGAAGCTCTCAGAAAAAGAAGACTGGAATGAATCTTACCAAGTGAAAAAAGGGATGAAATAAATTGAGACATTTCGGTATAAAATAATGTGGCACATGACAAGAGCTCCAAACTATTGATGACAGGGCTCCAAACAACTTGATTTTCACTTGCAGCTGGCAATTGTTAAAAGTGTAACTTCTTGCTTCCCATCTAATACCTCTTTCAACAAGCCCTCTAGGTGATTCTGAAGCACACTGAAATTTGACAACCACCGGTATGGAGTAGAGTATGAAGTGGGTTCTGGGAATAGTAGGAGACAAAGCTAGAGATGTCAGGAAGGACAGGCCTTGTGGGCCAGTAGCTGTGGCTGCTGATCCTTAGCTGATAGGAGCAGGGTTGTCATTAGGGTGAGGTGAGCGGATACCCAGGGTGCAAAACCCAAGGTGACACCAGGCTGAGACACCAGCCCCACACTCACAGAAGCCAGAGAGTGAACTGAGAGCCTTTGCTGCTTCACTCTACCCCAGCCCTAGAGAGCGGTGCTTTTGAAGCATTTTAAGTGAAGGAAAGACATAAAACAATGAAGTGGAGAAGTGAAGCCAGCAGAATGACACAAGAGAATCAAGGAATACTAGATGGTAAATATTACTGTCTATGAGCGCACCAGTTAAGCTTCCTAGGGGTCAGGGCAGAAAGAAAACGTGTTGAATCACATGGTCTACATTTTTCCTTCTTCATTTTTTTAATAGTAGGAAATGCATTAGAAGCATTTTCCTGGCCCTAAACTCTGAGAACCATTGGGTATTTATAGTCTTTCCTTTTTTTTTTTTTTAAATCTTAATCTAATTTTTATTAAGTGTAAAATTGATGATATTCCCTTATAATTTAAAATGTTAAACTTAATACAGAGCTTTTATAGCTAATGTCTTTGTACACACAGATTATCCCTATCTCTGGGATTGTGATATAATTTTCATCTACAAATATAAATCTTATCCATGTTCATGTGGGAAATTTAAACGGTTTTCTTTATATCCTTATGCAAAGAATTTTGTGTAGTTCTAGGATAATTTATGCCCACAGGATCCTCTTCAGATGAAATAAAGGGGCTGCCGAATAGGATCTTTTCTGGGAGCCTGTTCCATGGATGTATGGATCTTCTCATGTCATGCTATAAAAGCTGTTGACAAGGAACAGTAGTCTTACATGTTGAAAAAGCTTAAAAGGAATATTTCAGTGAAACCTTTTATAGACTGAATGTTTTCCTTAGCTTTTCAAAGCAGTGGTCATCATAGTTGGAATCTTGTTTTATTATTCATTTTTCTTACAAAGTTGGTTCATTCTTTTTGAACATTTTTTTTCCATTGACTTCCTACTTTCTCACAATGACTTAGGAAAAAATACTTAATGAGTCAAACGAGGATGCACTGGCAATGTGGGAACACTGATATTTTTGTACTTCTGTCACTGAGATGATATATGAAGTACCCAGACAGTATTTGGCACCTGGTAGGTATTCCCTAGTTGGTGCTTTCTTCACTGACCTCCTTTTTGTTTATTTGGGCTTTTTTGGTATTTTGTTATATGCAGAGGAGTATTTTGGATAATTGCCCTGAGGTATTGGTCAGCAGAGTCAGTTCTGGAGTGCAGTGTGTCTGAATATAACCCTGCCTTCCATGGCAGCAGGCTGCTGTCCCAGCTCCTGACTCCGTGCCCTTCTTTCAGGATCTTTTTTTACCCTGATCTCTCTGCTACTGTTCCTGCCTTGGGACAGATAGGAGACACCGAGCTGACCTGTCCATCAGCCCAGTGTTTTCTTTACAACCTTGCCAAGGAAGCGGGATACTGGAATACATATCGCACCGTCTCCACAGCCTGCCCCTTGGCCTGGATCCTCAAATACAGTAATGCATGTCACCAAGCTGTAGCCCATTTTATATGTTCTAGGAATGACAGTCATTCCTGGGACATGCCAATAGGCTGTTTTAAGAGTCTATTTCTGCCTAGATCAAAAACTTGTTCGGGTTCTCTCCATCTGAATCCACAGGCTTACTCTGCCTCACTTCGTTTTTTTCCTTCCCTGCTTTGGCCGTGGGATTGTCATGAATCAGAATTAAATTAATATTGCCAAAGCTGTTTCACTTTTACAAAAGTCAATGTGCTTCCCAGTTGAATACCACACCTTGCTTTCACTATTAGTAACTGATGTGTGCACTTTAGATGGGAGTCACTTTTTCTGTTTTAGAACGGGTGTGGATTTGGTGGGGTGGGGGCTGAGGAAGAGAGAGCAGATGAATGAATCAACACACAAATAGTAAAAAGTTCTGATCCCCTGGGAGGAAGGAGAAAAATAACAAAACCGTGATGTACTATATTTTATCCATTATGTCTGCTGAGGAATTAGGGTCAGGACCCAGAAACCTTGCGCTATCTCCTGGTGTTTGTTTCAGTTCAGGTGGGGTGGGTTTCCCCTTTGATGGGTCATTTCCTTCTCTCCTTCCACATTCCAAGCTGCATTAAGATGACAAATTTCACTTATAGGCTCGGGCACGGACATGAAAACCTGAGCTATTCAGCTAACTGAGTGAGTGCAGAGGAGTCGATTTATTGTGGGGAGAAAGGGAGTAGAAGAGCACAAGAGATTTTTGAGAGCTCAGCTCTGCAGCAGAGCACAGACAGGATGGCCCAGACCCTGCCCCCAGCCCCAGACCCTGCTCTTGAGTCTCATCACGCCTGTCAAGGTGGAAGAGAAATGTTAAAGTGATTAAAGAGACTTCTTTAAAGCATGCCCCCCACCCCTGATTATGTGGCTCGCAGATGAAACTTTATTTAGGAGAAAACCTTGTGGTGGATTTTGCAGAAATATTTAGGGTGAAATAAGTAGAATAAAGGTCTTGCATTCTTTTCTATCTGTGAGCTGTGCAGTAAATACTTCTATTCTGACTTTTGGAGAGGAAAAACAAAATCTGGGATAGCAGAGAGCAGGTCCATCAGATCAAACATGACTGCTTTAAATACTAAAATGTTCAAAGTCCAAAAAAAAATCTGGGACAGCAGAGAGCAGGTCCATCAGATCAAACATGACTGCTTTAAATACTAAAATGTTCAAAGTCCGACTGAGATAGATAAAGGCTTTGATGGAAAGTGGATATTTCCCAGGGACATTACAGGCAATAATCCAGATGTTATGGTGTAATGCAACGAGTGTCCGTGGATAGATCAGGAGCTCCAGCCAAGCCGCGCCTGACGCGGGCCTCAGACTTGCCCTCCCGTGCTGTTCCGCCATATGGAACCGATCTCTAGGCCCCCTTAATAACCAGCTTTGGATTCCGTTTTCACAGAGCTCACAGAGCTAAGTGGGGCTGTTTTATGGACAAGTTAGATAGAAGCCTTTCCAAGATAAACATCCAATTTGAAATTAGGACATACCAAGCCGCAAAATTATTTTAGGGCATATTTCATGGAAGTGCTGCCATTTTTCTTAGGCAATTGCCAGACTGTAGGATGCCCTTTGATCCTTTGTGGACATAACTCCCTTTTTTGTAAAAAGGATTTTGAAATAGTTGCAGTGTTTAGGGAGGAATATATCTGTCGGAACTTTGAAGCATGGTCGTGGGACAGGTCATGCTTTAGCCTGTCGGTTGGCGAGTCAAACTTTGAGAAAAGGCAAAAGAAAAGGAATCGCGGCAGGATATATGAATCAAAATCTCATTTTAGCTTTAAAAGTAGAAGTTTTCAGCCCATGTACTTAATAAGCTATAAAATGTACTAAGTATATCTACACCCGTATACACGTATATAGACATATACATTACTCAGACGTCTGTCTATATATTGTGATGGTGTGTATTGTTTTTAACAAATATAAAATTGCTTAATTTTAACTATTACATATATCTTTGTTATTCAGTACATTTTATCCAGAACCCAACTGCAAATAGGAGTTAAGAAAGAATTATTCATGTTCACCAGACAGCAGGGTTTTTTATTTTTTTTTAGATAAATTCTCCCCCCCCCACCTCTGCTTAGTCTCAGCATGTACAGAGTCTGTGTGTGGGTGTGCGTGCACGCGTGTGTGTTTCAGGAGAAAAACAGCATGCGTATGAAGTTCGGGAGTATATATTTCCTTGAATGTATTTTGTTTAACGTTGTCATAAAATGATCAACAGAACGTGGGGTGTGGAATTGCTGCATCGTTTGTTAAGAGTGATGGAGTGATGTGGGTTGGATGAGGTAAGCTGCTATATAATTAATATGGTACTGACATACCATTTGTTGTGATAAATTGTGACTAACTGGTGTCCGAGCAAATTGATGTCTAAGTGATCTCAAAGATATAGTGAGCGGCTGACAGGAGTGAATATATGCTGTTAGAAATTCATTGCTTTCCTATGATGCTCAGTGCCATTTACATCCTTCAGCCCATTTATTCCTCCTTCAAATAAAGACGTCTCCGCTTGTGCCAATTCACCCACTGAATAGAGAATGTAATGAACTCCAAACTCCGCCAACTAAACACAGCACGTGGATCATGTGGGGATCCTAACATAAACAAACTACCCATAAAAAGACATTGTTGAGCCCCTCAGGGAAATGTGCATGTGACTGGGTATTTAATGATATTAAGGAAAATGATGGTTCCTTTTGTTGGGCGTGATCATGGCATGACGGTTATGTAAAAACGAATGTGGATTTTGGTTTAAAATATTTCAGCCAGAAAAACATAATGAAGGGACAGATGAAATAAGATTGGCAATAGGTTGAATCTGGTAAATAAATACATGGGGATTTATTATACAGTTCTCTTTACCTTTGTATATGTTTGAAAATTTACACAATGGAAATTAAAAGTAAAATATGTCTACTTTATAATTTAGTAGCAGGGGCTATTTGTCTTTTCTCTATAAGGTGTGTATGAGTAATATAATTTAGAAAAGGAAAAAAAAAAACAAAGTAAAATATGTCTACTTTATAATTTAGTAGCAGGGGGTATTTGTCTTTTCTCTATAAGGTGTGTATGAGTAATATAATTTAGAAAAGGAAAAAAAAAAAAAAAACTAACAGTTACTGAATCTCTGCTGGGTCCCAGGTGCTGTGAAATGCACTTTATCCATCCCTGTCCCCACCCTGCCCCACTAGCCAGATGTGCAAAGCTCATTTGGCCAGCTAGGCCATTACAGGCTGTATTTGGGGTTTTGAATCTCACAGTAGTGGTGAGCTTTTTAGTAGTAGCCCAAGGAATAAAAGGAAGTGGGGACAGATTCAAATGTGAAGGATCAATTCGAAGTCATTATTTCTAAATGCCCAGAAGTGTTTTGTTTTCCTGCAAAGCGAGCCTTGTTCTTATATCTCTGTCTCCCAGAATGCCTTTCTTCTCTTTGTACTATTGAAATTGCCGAAGGCCCAGTTTAAGGATTCCTACCAAAGAGCATATTGGGAGGGAGTGCAGGCCTGTGCCAAATCAAAGTGTTGCTTATATTTGTCCTTCACTATATTATTACAAGTCCAAAGCTCGAGAAGGAAATCACATAACTGGGATTGCAGGTTTGCAAAACCAATGAAAAATAACACTTTTCACCAGGCAGGGAGTGATGCTATAATCAAATACTGAAAGCTGGAATTCCTATGATCACCAAAGTCACTCTCAAGAATTATCAGCAAATTTATGTCATCTTTATTTTTTGCTTTAGTCCTCTTTGATACGCAACCTACGGCTCTCAGAGTCCTTGAAAAAGAACCAACTGTGGAATGGGATTATAAGTATAACTTTGTTGGAAGGGAAGAATGTCTCAGGAGGAAGTATGACAGAGATGTTTGTCCTGTTAAAACTGGGAGATCAGAGGTATAAAAGTAAGGTAAGTTCTATCAATTCCATAAAGAGAACAACATCTTCAAGAATAAAAAAATTAAACATTGTTTTCCCGCTCTAAATTTCATAAGAATAGAAGTAATTAATTTTAGGTCTCCTAACTATATTAAGCAGTGTCCTAGAAAACAAAACAATTGTATAAGTGCAGTCAATTATTATGGGTCTTGTTTTAATTGCTTAGTGTATTTTAATATAGCAACTCAGAGCTAGAGAAAGCTTATTAAAAAATAGATTTGAATGCATGATTTATTTTCCTTTTAAAAATAAGCAAACTATGTTTCATGGAATGTGGGAAATGGATAACAGGGTTGTTAAAATTCTACAAAAATAAAATAATACAATATGTGACATTGGATTAAAATATTTGAGATAACAAAAAAAAATTTCAAAATTATATATACCCTTTGCTTTGTCTTACTTGTTAGTCTTAACACCAAAAATAGATATTTAGTACTGTTTTTGCTGTGATTAAAAAAAAAAAAACCAAAGAACAGAAACAGAGTATTAAAGTGATTTGTTTTAAACAAAAGTGAAGACATTTTCAGCTGTCTTTAAAAATAAGTCATCTTATTCTGCCAATCCAAATTCCATTTAATTTTTAATCTTAGTAATTTGGTGTGGATTTTATTTCAAAAGTCATAGTCTGTAAACCATGATAATTAATTGGTTTTACATAACGGTCAAACAGGGACATTTTCTGTGTTTTATGGATTGAGGGATCTGGGGTACTTGCAAGTTAAGTCACTTGTCAAAAGCCACGTAGAAAAAAAAAAATCAATGGGAGATTTTAAAAATATACCCGAGGATATTTGTAGTTGAGGCTTTCAGCACTGAGGACACAGCAGATGCACGCAGGTTGGAAAATGATTTAGGGAAGCAAGAGGTGGTCTGTGCTGCACAATTCTCAGTGCAAAATCAAATATTAGATGTCATTTACTGTAGCAGAAAGGAGCAGAGAATTGTGGCTCATGCTGAAGAATAGTTTATAAGAAATTCAAGAAACAGGGCAAGTTACATCAGAAATATGCAGATAATTATTTTACATAGGTAATTTCAAGCTGTACCTCACGGTGAATGTATTCAGGGTAACCACATCTCTCCACTAAGATTCCTTCAACTGGCCAGGGTCAGGCTGAGGATTTATGGAAAAATTATTCATCACTAAGCACACTTACCCCTTTGGACTAAGGTGAAGTGTAGAATTAGTTCAATATCTGCTACATTCCCCCTTGGGGAATGCTGCATTTAATTTGTGGTCTAATAGGCTTTTTTTTTTTTCCTTCTTCCTGGTTTCTAAATTCTGTGATCTGATATATTAAGCCTGATGTGACAAACAGCTTAAATGATTTTACATGACATTGGCTATAGCTGAGGTCTGAGTTGTTCATGTTTTTTCTCATGCAGGAATAGTTGGTGCTAGGATTTAATTCTTGATGCTGTGCACTTAGAGTCTGATACTTAGTGACCAACATTTTTGCTCACTTTTTATTCACAAATTGAATCTCTATGTAAATGAAACAAAAATAAAAATCCTGCCAGTGAACCCAACACATAGGCAGTTTGAAATCACTCTTAGGGAACACAGAAACACTTGTGGGTTTTCAGACCAGTCTTGTTAATTTTTAGGTTTGCTGCAGTGGAATTTCCTAAGCTTCTTCCCAGTCTAGTGACTGAACTCAGTAACCTCAGACTTAAAAATATATGGCAATGTACACGTTATGGGTTCTCATTTAATGCATCTGACAGATATTAATTAAGACCCCAGACTGTTAATTTATATAGTTCTTAAGCCAGCACCAAATGAATATGCCAACAAAAATGTTGCTTGTGTTTGATTAATCAGTCAGTGTTATGTTCTCTAAGAGAGATCAGTTGCAAAATGACTATTGATATATGTCATATATATACATATATACATTATTTATGGTTTCTTGTGAGATAACTGTATCCACTTGGTGGATACATTTTTTAATCTGGGGGCCAGTTAGAAGTGTCATGTTGATTTGCTGATTCCTGAACCCTTGAAGTCCCTTTTATTCCAAAAATGAAAGTTTAACTTTATAAGGGGTGAGGCCCATCATCATGACCTTCTGCAGTTTAGAGATGAAATTAATGTGTAGCTGCTGTAGCAATGAATGACGTTTGAAGAAAATAAATGTTATAACTGCATGTTTTCTAGACACTGTGTAAGAGTGCAAATCCGCAGTGGCAGGAACAGTTTGACTTTCACTACTTCTCTGACAGGATGGGCATTTTGGACATTGAAGTGTGGGGAAAGGACAGCAAAAAGCACGAGGAACGTCTGGGCACGTGAGTCTGCTCTGCTAGTTTCTGTATGGGGCTGGTTCTGAGTGAATATCTTTATCTGTTTGCACTGAGGGTGATGCCTCATATGCCTACCTTGAGCAGCCATCAGTAAGCTGGATGACCAAGACGAACTGGGGGAAACTTGGAGAAAGTTTGCTTTTTTTCTCTCTCTCTTTTTTTTTTTTAGTTGGTAAATGTCATTTAGTATTGATTTAAACAGAAACAAATAATGTCAGGAATTCTCTAAAGAAAGACAGCATGCCATCTCAGACTCTATAGAAATGTTTGGATAGAGTTCCAATATACTGTATAATTTTGGTTTTGCTATTTAGTGAAATATTATATACTCTAGTAAAAATATAAGTCTAGGTATCCCCCATGGTGGGAACTTTTCAATGTCCTTGATGTACTTTGCAGCAAACTATAGTGGAATATATTGAGAACGAATTTATTTTCTTTTGTTTCTTTACTTTGAACCTTCTCAACTTAATTGAGGTACTCACTGTATATGACAAACCATGATGTAAATATTATAGGGTTTCCACAGAGGGTTGTCGTGAGGAATACCATTAAATGAGGTAGCTCACTGAGACGGGCTGACGGTGAGCAGGAGGGAGATGTTGGTGGAAGCCAGTGTCATCCCTAGATTTGGAAAGCCCTGCATGTTCGTGGCCTCAGGCTCCTGTTACAGATGAGGAAATGCAGCATGTCACTGAGACGGGCTGACGGTGAGCAGGAGGGAGATGTTGGTGGAAGCCAGTGTCATCTCTAGGTTTGGAAAGCCCTGCATGTTCGTGGCCTCAGGCTCCTGTTACAGATGAGGAAATGCAGCATGAGAAGTGTTCAAATGACCTGGGACACAGACTTAAGAACAGCATGTTCCAGAGTCAGGATTCTGTGTTTTCAAAGCCATGTTCTTGACATCAAATTACTGCCTTTTTTTCCTCCCAGAGACATAAAATTTGAACATAAATATTACATTTAGAACACAAATGTTCAAAGAGGTCCCAAGAGCTGTTGGTTGTCTTTTTCAAACCTGCACCTTGGGTTCAGGGAGCTGATTTGGGGTCACCTCTTGGGGAATGGGCAGGCCTCCTACCTAACTCCTCTCGTCTACAGCCCGAGAATCTCAACTTTTGCCTGTGCTCTATCCTGTAATTTCATTTGAAGAAAGGGTTTTGTTGGTAACTACAGATGAAAAAGCACTCATCTAGCATGACCTTGTTATTTTGCACATTAGGAAATGCGGAGGCTCAGGGAGGTGAAATGTTTTTCTAGCAACAAGGATTTTAGAGACAGAAATGGGGTGAGACCCAGCTAACCCAGTACTTTGCTATCCCCAGTTAGGTGGGTGGGGAGTTCTGTACCCATGGAACGTCCTCCAGTGTTTCTCAGCAGAGGCACCCTGCATGGGACTGTCTGGCATGCTGCAGGGTGTTTAGCAAACCTGGCTGTTACCCAACTGAGGCGGGTAACGTTTCCCACTTATTGTGTGGAAGACAAACAAGTGTGCAAGTGTACAGACAGCATCCTACATTCCACTGCATATGTCCAGACACCCCTGGGGACCAGCATTGCTGCCAGTTCAGACCTCTGCACCTCTTCCTCCACAGCCCTGACTGTCTTGCTCTGCAGCCTCCTCATCCCAGTTCCATGCTTGTCTGGTAGGTGGCAGCTGTCGCTTCCTTGGCCGTTTCCTAGGCCAGGTTTGTGCATTCAGATAGCAAACCAGGCCATGCCATACTCTGCAGCTCATGCAGGACTCCCTGTGGTCCAGTGTTTCATAGACACTGCCCGTCAGATTACCAGTCTGACCTGGTCTCTCCCCAGTGTATCCGCACAGGGATGCCTCGGATACTTCTCAGTAGCTCTAACATTGTCACTGCTGTGACAGACCAGGGCCCTGCTAACACCGATGGTAGGAGGAACAGAAACTTTGTTAGCACAAAGAAGAGAGCAAGGGTAAGTTACGCAAATGCAGAGAACTCTGTGTCCCAAAGTGTTATCTGCACAGTGGGAGTCTGGGCCTCCTGTGATGGATGGCTGCCGTGTTATTTTAGTGGGTGCAAAGAGTAATGCCCTTGCATTTCACGTGGCATTGTGCTGCTGCTTCCTCCACATGATAGGAAACGCTTTTCCCAGTGAGTGTTGGGTTGCTTCACAAAGACAAAACATAATTTAAGATGTCCCTTTTTTTCCATGTTTTGTCATCTGGGTATTCATTTATTATTTTATCTATTTCCTGTTTGTAACTGAGAAGTATACCTGCCTGTCATTCTGTCCTTCCTCTTCGTGGATTTTAGAGGATTTTTTTATTTTTTATTTTTATTTTTTGGTGTCCTTTTCCTTTTTCCTCTCCTGTAGTACAGAAGATAACAGAGTATCTCTTGGGAACCAGCTCCACAGCATTACCCTGCAGCCAACTTGCAGGTGGAAAGAAAACTATTATAACCTACTCAGATTTAAAGGAGAGATGGCGCTAGCATCTGCACATCATGGAAGTGTTACCTACAGTTCCTTCTTAATAGTTACTTTTGAAATATTCCAACTTTTATTTTTCACATTTTCTTTCCTTTGTGTTCTTCATTCTAAGGCTGAGATATTTTATCTTGCAGCTGTTAGGAAAACCCCTTTTTATATCAGGAGGCTCTCCCAACAGCGTCAATGAAGCTTTACTGTCTCCTAGGGCCTCTCTCATCTTTGTTTCTGGATAACACCTCGACGTTAATAATTTAGAGCTCTAGATGGTTTCTCTGGGGAAATTCTCTTCAGTGAAGCTTCTAGATGTAGGCAGTTTGATGCAAGAGAAGGAACCCTAGCTTCTGAGTTGCACATCTTGGGCATGCTTGTGACCACACTGCTAGCTGTGTGACCTTGGGCAGTGAATTCACTTGTGCAGTCTGGCTCTCTGTCTTTATAACGGGGTCACTAGCCAACTTGCAGGGTTATCATGGCTAACAGTAACAATGTTTATTTGACATTGTCTATTCTTTTGAGGATTCAAATGATGAGTATTGTTATTATTAATTATGACATTTTCCCACATGGCAACTATAGACCCACACAACATTTGCAACTAAAATATGCAATTTAGGTAAATGAATGTGACTAGTGAAATTTAACATTTTTTTTTTCAAAACAGTATGAATTGTTTTGTATTTGTTGGTAGAAGTGAGCAGTGGACATCTTCAAGGACATGGTAGTCGTGCCGTCCATATGGACTGAAGGATTGAGCAGTGTGGGTTAGCCTGGTCAGTACTGGAATTTTGCAGCCATGGGTGAAAAGGCTGGGGTAGTGGTAGGTTATATGAAGAGAAATCACATTGGCATTGGTAGGTTGTTAGCCTGGTGATGGTTAAAACATGGTCTGGCTGGCAGCCTTGAGGCTCTCCTGAGTCCTGTGGAGCTTTCTGACTTCCCCTTGTGCCACAGACCACCCACCTGCAGGCTCCTGCTGAGCCACAGGTAACTCCTAAGGAAGCTGGCGTTGATGAGATGAAGGTGTTTGAGTGAAATCCAGCCTCTCCTGAAACCATGTTGCCTACGAACTTCAGTGTTTGTTCATGTGCAAAACAAACAAACCATCTGAGCCACAGGTAACTCCTAAGGAAGCTGGCGTTGATGAGATGAAGGTGTTTGAGTGAAATCCAGCATCTCCTGAAACCATGTTGCCTACGAACTTCAGTGTTTGTTCATGTGCAAAACAAACAAACCAAAAAAGACATCATCTCATCTTAGACAAGGATGCTGAGCTTTTAGGGAAGTAAAACGTAAAGCTAAATTTATCCTGTTCCAATTTTTAAACAAAATATCTAGAGTATGAGTACAGATTAATATAGATTATTCCATTTTGTGCCATTTCAAAGTCATCAGATCATTTTCTTAAAGTATATTTTACATTTCAAAGTGATTCTAGAGATTAACTTGTTATGGAATAATCTAGACTTAATTTAGTTTGGAAAGGTTAAGAATGAGAATCCACAAGCCGGTTTTGATTGGCCTGCCCCAGAGTCACTCCTCAGTCCCAGATGGTGCCTTATAAAGTGGCTCTGACATTCTACCAGTTTATTAGTGGCTCTGAGGCAGTGAAAAATCTGGGCTGGAGTATTTCCCTGGACAAATTGCACCCCATGTCGTTGATCTGCTTTTACAGCCAGGCTTGACACATTCACCGTTTTCTTCCTGTTCCCCAGCTTCCTTAGCTTCTGAGATTTACAGCTTTTAAAACTATAGCACTCTTTCTGCCCCTTGCATTTAAGTTAAAAGCTGACCAGTCTGTAATATAAAACATAGAATTATGGTAATGAATAAGAGGTTAAAAGCTATCATGCCAAGTAAAACTTGAGCAGGTTTGGCTGACTGATAAAGTAAAATTATGTGTTGAATTAAAACATTAAAATACCGTGGGATTAATGGAGAAAGACAAGAACAGGAGGTCAGAAACAATGCTAAATCAGCACATTAACTGCCTGTGGACTAGAGAGGATAGCTTTAATATATGCGCATTGCAGGAAAAAAAAATTTAGACTGTTTTTTTCAGGTGAGTAGAACCATGGAATTTTCAATCTGGGAGGCACCTATTATTTATTTCAATTCTTCTAAAAAGCAGAAATTGAGACTACAAAAGATTTAGTTAAAAAAAAAAAAACAAAACACTGCATTTGTAATTTGGATTTTTTTGACTTTATGAGTTTCATTAGTGAGACTACAAAAGATTTAGTTAAAAAAAAAACAAAACACTGCATTTGTAATTTGGATTTTTTTGACTTTATGAGTTTCATTAGGCCACTGACATTTATTTGTGCATTCATTGTATTTAACAAATACAGAGCATATTGTGTGTCAGGTAGGCTGCAGAGTACTGAGGATTTGGTGAAAAAGACAGATTAGATTGCTGTACTTGGACACTAGTAAGTTTGGGCTTCTGTAAGCAAGCAGGCAGTGGCAGTACCGTGGAGTGAGGGCTGTGCATCCTGGCACCATGGAAACTAGCCTGGGCTTGGGGGTGGAAGGGGGTGGCTTTCTGGAAGAACACAACTCTGAGCTGAGACCTGTAAGATGGGTGGTCATTAGCCTGACAAGGAGATTGGAAGAAGGGCTTTCCAGGAAGACAGCACAAGATGTCGCTGATGAGGCTAGAGAGGAGGGCAGGCGAGAGGTCACAAAGCTATTGGATTCCTTCTCATGCCAATGAACAATGGCAGCTCCTCTCTAGGCACAAACACATCAGTGACTTTACTATTTTTATTTCCATCATGTAAATCTTGTTATTAAAGTGGAGCGCCTATCTACTGAATTTTCTAAGATCTGATGTTGCAGTGAGAACTTCCTGGTCATCTGAGAGCCAAGTGTCTTTCTGAATGACTGTCCAGACATGGTCACTCCCCTTGCATGTGAAGTCACACACAATGCCACAGGAACAGACATAATTAGTTAATGCTCATTACTTCTGTTTCTGATACAGATCCTCTGAGTGTGTGTTTTTCATGTTGTTTCTATCAGAAGAGCAATTTTATAAGTTTTATTGCTTTATGAGTTTTTATTACCAAACAGATCATTGGATGTTTTGGCCAGAGTTTAGGCTCTGGTATGTTAAAAACTGTTTTTAAAAAATTATTCTTAGGTTAATAACTCTGGTACCTTTATCAATATGTTTGTGTTATTTGTAATCAACCTTGTAAAATTCTTAAAGAAAACTTCTAAATTATTGGTATAATTCACCACAGCTAAATTATTAGCATTTCTGTAGGTCGGGGGTCAGCAAACTATGGCCCATGGGCCAAATCCAGATAGCTGTTTTTGTAAATAAAGTTTTATTGGAAAACAGACTCACTTATTTGTTTACATTGCCTATTACTGCCTTCATGCTACCAAAGTAGAGTTAAATAGTTGCAACAGAGACCATATGGCTCACAAACCAAAATTATTTACTTTCTGGCCCTTCACAGAAAAATGGTCTAGGTGTGAGAAAATTCTGTGACTCACCCATAACAGGTAGAGGTTAATCCTGTGCCCTCACATAACAGGTAGCTAAAGAGATGACAGAAAGCCTTGAAAAAGAGCAAAAGATTTTGCAGATCTTCAGTAGTGACTAGAAAGAATTAAGAGAACAACCAAATTATTTAGTATTTTCACAAAGAGGAATCTGTTACACTTTGGAAAATAGAAAGAAGCAGCCCAGCTACTCCTTTCAAAAGTTTTTCTATTCAAGATGTTTTTGATGAATGCACTACAGAATGTTTACACCTTAAAGATTTTAGATTTTAGTCCATTTATCTTTGTTTGAACATAAGAAATGCCACGAAAAAGCCATTTTGTTCATTTGATTCTTACCTCTCTTTCAGAAGTTTGGTGAGTATTGTGTTAAGAGTCTCTAAAATTCTGAAAGAAAAGTCCTGTTTTAAAATTTTTTCTTCTGCCACTTTTGCTGATAATGCAGTAGCTTCCCTAGCTTGGAGTTAGTGTAAATTAATCTCCCAGCCTCTGGCTAACCTCCAGAGCTTCTGGTTCTCCTTCAGACTTTAGGACGAACTGCAGCAGTGTGGACTGAGGTTGAAACTGGGTAAAACGGGAGGCCTGAAGCAGAGGGTTTTGTATGAAATACATTTTGTCCTACTCCCATCTTTCCTTCTTTCTTCCAGAATATGAGAATAAATGGGGAAGCCAGGTGGGTAGAAGAGGATATAGAAAGTTTATAGTAAGCCATCTTTATAGAGTAGCTAGTTATTAAAACTAGAGAGAGGACAGCTTTAAATTAATTCTTACGTCTTAAGACATCAATTCACATGGTGGGTCAGGGACCCTAAGAGTCTGGGTCATAACCTCTGTGCAAAAGAACCATGTTTTAATTTTGATTGACATGATGCTGTTATACTATATCATTTTAATTTGCTCTTTTACATCACTAAGAAAGTAAAAACGAGTATTTGGCTGAATTCACTCATTAGTTAATAGAGAATGTAGAATTCATTAAATTGGTGTCTGAATCCTCAACCTGTTACTCATGGGGTTTTGGTATCTAAACTATGTGTAGCTATTTTGCATGCAGGTATAATTTTCTAGTTAACTAAATAATTTTCAAAAATGAGATCAGGGTAAAACTTTCACAGTAGACAGAAATGACTGAAAAGTCAGTGAAAAAATGTGTAACTTCTGAGGGGAAGCCCAGTATTTACTTTGCATTTTGTCTAATACAAAGTTCAACTTTTGTTTAAAATAATAATCTGCTCTGTTCCAGTAAGTTGTACATTTAAGCAGTCACTAGGAGAGTTTGCAACGTTATTCTAAATATGCTAATGTTGCTCATAGCATTTTTAGATTATTCTTTAGAATTAATGCCCAGGTGCATTTTGAATTATCCAAGAAAAATTTTATTAATGCATTCTTATGCATTATTTTTGACCTTCACACATTGTTAGGTCTCAGAGCACTTATCTCTAAATAACTTTTGGCTGTCCAAAACATCAGAGAAATCTACCACCGCAACAAAGAAGGTAAACATTCAAAGGACAAAAAAAAATTGCTGCTATTAATGGTATTAAAAAGAATATGCCGTAGATATGTTATTGCTAATCTTGAATAAAGTGATCGCCAGAGAAAATTCTTGTGAATTTGGATCATTCATCTTTCCATAAGAAAGATCTTTATAAATGAAGGTTTGTATAACAATGTAAAATAATGCTTAGCTAAGTATTCCTAAGCAGATGTGTTATTGCAATATTGGTTAAGAACATGTGGGTGCTTAGTTTTCTACAAATGGCATAGTTAAAGCACTTGACATTTCTTTCTTTCCAAGAAAATTTAATTTCCCACTTACATAACTGCTTATGAAATAAAAATTTTTAGTAATCTCTCTTTTCACAGGTAGTAGGAAATTTTAAATTTAAAAGTTTCCTTATGGCTACAGAAAAAATTGTTGTGATTCAAATCGTAGCAGACTATTTAAAAAAATGTATATTTTTGGTAATGTCTCCAATAGAAATACTTGGTGAACTTATTACATAGAAAAGCTCTAATTGCTACTCCCTCGCATACCAGAGGTCACTTTTGATAAACAGGAAATAAATACACACATGTATTTAATTTTATAGGCATATATCAGTATGTAAAATATTTTTGATTCTATAATAAAGGCTAGTATAGGCTTTTAATGTAATTGATATTTTTCTTTTTTAATTGGGAAGGGGATTGCAAGGTTTCTTTTAAATATATTCAGCTGTAAGTTTTTGTTCACATATCCATGTGGCTCAAAATTATTATTGCTCTATATGTTATGCAAGTTTGCCTGTTTCTAATTATCTGCAAATGTACAAAGTCTATTCAAGATTTAGTGTAAGAATCCATCCTTATTGCTCATTGTGGAAGGCAGTGCTTTCACCTTTTTCTAAATTTTTGAATATTCATCTTCTTTCATAATTATGGAGGGTAAATGAGAATTAAAAGAAATGCATCTAGAAACTACCATCGCCTGACCCCCCTTCCACTCGACCTCACCTACTTCACCCACCTGCATACATAAATATAGCAGGTGTGGTCCAGGCAAACCCAGAGTTTTCAGTGTTAAAGTAAATAAATGGCTTAGCACCTCAGCCCCCTTTTTTTGGTGTTTGCTTCTGTATTTAAATGTGTTTGAGGTTTTCAACATCCCCAGAACATTGGCTGTTAAGAGGCGGAAAACATGCAATTTATAGCAGATGGGTACAGCCTTTCCTGGCAGTACTGCTGTAATGGGATCAATCAACAACACTTCATGCTCCATTTGTCCAAGAGAAACCCACCTGGGGAAACCCTGTGGAACCGTGCCTATTAGGAAAACACCTTAACACGTTTCTTTAAATAAAAATTTGCCAGTTGGCATTAATCGGGAAGAAAGTGGTTTCTCCATTAACCCTCTCCCACTTGCATTTTACTTGTCTTTCCCATCGCCTTTTTTTTTTCTTTTTCTTTTTTTTTGAACCACAATCCTTTATTCTCTTTACTCATAAAAGGCACAGTCCAGGGAAGCCCTTCAGAGCACTCATCCACAATGCTTAAACTTAGAAACTTTTTCCCCCTCCTTTTTCTTGGTCTCATCATCTTTCTGCAGACTTTATTTGGCAAAGACCAGACTCTTCTTTTTCATTTGCCTTCCCCTGATGCTGCCTTCTCTTTGATTTTCTTTTCCTCTTCCTCTCCTTAATTTTAGAGTGTATTAGTCTGGGAGTGAAGATTACAAGCCAGGGGAGCCCCTGCAACCTTCACAGCTCAATAAACCCGAGCTCAGGCAGAGTGAGGTTTTTGGGGGATGATGAAATAAAAACCAGGTGCTTTGGAGGTTCTGCAATGGCCTTGAGTTAATTGCTTTTCTTTCTCTGATTCCTGAAACTTCTAGGTGTAAAGTGGACATTGCGGCACTCCCTCTGAAGCAAGCCAACTGCTTGGAGCTGCCACTGGAGAGCTGTCTGGGGGCTCTGCTTTTGTTGATCACACTCACGCCCTGTGCCGGAGTCTCTGTCTCTGATCTGTGCATCTGCCCTTTAGCAGACCCCAGCGAAAGAAAGCAGATTTTTCAGCGATATGTGAGTGCTTTGCCTTGTGTACCACTCCCACCCCCTCCCACTTTCAAGTTGAAACAAAGTCTATGAATTGAAAAACTGCATCAAAAGAGATCTTTGTCCCAAGTTTAATTGTATGTCTCATAAAACAAGACATCAGACCTAGGGGTTAATGCATTAATGAGGAGGTGAAAGTAGACTGAGAGTTTGCCTTGCTATTTTAAAAGCTGAAAAGGTTTTATTTTGAATTTTTAGCTTTTAGGAAGTTTTTGGAGAACATTGAAATCCTCAAAGAAACACGATTGTTTAGCATGTCTACATATGTAAATAGGAATTTTAATATAAGTTCACAAAAGTAACTTTTTTTTTTAACTGAGCAATAATGTTTGCAGTGTTATAGATACCTTTCCAGAACTTTTAGGATCAAGTGAAAATGTGCTTGTGTTTTATAAAGCAAAGACCTAGCTAGGCATGTTCAGAACTGTTGTTCTGTACTACTCTGGGTGATAATAGCAATGTGTGATTTTTCCCTAAGTAGTTGAAATGTGCTTACCCACTCAGCATTTTCAAATCAAATGGCTGGGTCGTCTTTACTTAATTTTTGTACTTTGGCTTTCGAGGCACCTTTATTTGCATTCTGTTTTTATCCTATTTTCTTTGTAAATCAATACTTTTATTTTATTGCCACACGAGGAAGGCATGTTTTAGGAAAGTTGCATGAAAATAAAGCAAGAATGAATCCCTATTCAATGGCAATATCATTCTCAGCATAAACTTTAGTGCCTCCAGAATCCTTCACTGTGTAGGTGTATTGATTAATTGAATAATGTTTTAATCTTTGGGAGTACAAAACCTAGCCACATAGCTCATTGTCAATGCAGATTCTATGTGCCGGGTTGGCATACTCTGAAGAAGTTTCAGACAAATTAACTATTAATATTCTCTCTGATGACTTTAGTTAAACAAATGAAAATTTGATGGTGAAAAAGAAAAGTTTTCCCTGAACTTTCCCATGGATAAATTACAAAACTTACCAAATTCATGTATTTATAAAGAAACATTAGATAGCATGGTAATGGCTGCTTTGAATAATGCCTCAGGGTTTGAGTAGCAATATCGAAAAGAGGTTTGAAGAGGCTACACTCAAAATAGAAATATCGAGTGTTTCTTCAGCTAGCAAGCTGGCCAGCACGTTAGATGGAAAGGAAGCCGTGTTACAAGACAGAGGTTGCAGAGCCCTGGATTTGTTTTCTAGTTTAGAAGAATAGATCACCTTTAAAGACATTTCTACCTCTAAATTGTAAAAGTATTTTATTTTAAATGCTTTCACCTTAGCTTAGAAACGAGTTATTTTGTTTGTTTAGGTTGAAAATGCAGAGGAGAAACAACTTTCCAAAGTTCTTGGAAATGATGAATATTAGGTTAAGCAAACCTGAAATATTATTAAGCTTTTGTTATTCTACCCTGAAATGCCGAAATAATAAAAATTTTACTGTCCTCCCATAAATTCTGGAGTCTGCTTATCACAGGTTTTTAGCTGTCTAATGATGACAGGAAAAGAATTTCAGAAGATTTTGAAGCAGCACCTTTTTCAGTAGATGTGTTCTGGAGGCACTAGAAGAGAGTTTGTCTGCTTATTTTTTCATGCATAATTTCTTAAGGATGCCATGTGCATAGACATCCAAATATTGCTATATATGCTTAAGAGTGATCAGTAGATATATTCAAGCTTTGGCTCATGCAAAGTAAAGATTAAAGTAAATATGAATACAGGGTGATACTAGATGCTTAATCTCTGGTTTAATAATCTGACCAATACATAGATCAGAAAATTCATTCTGTTTCCATCCCCTTTGTCTTTCCAGTGGTAATAAATATCTATGATGGTTCCAAGTTTAGTCCTCTGTAATCCATAAAGTTTGTACTAACTGGGTCAGAATAATGTTGCCTTTTAGGGTGATTTAAAAGTTACATTAAAGAGAAAGAAGGGGAAAAACAGAATGAATGTAGTTCTGCACACACATTTTCTCAGTGGGATCTCTGTGCTATCACCAGGGGGCGATGTTAAAAGTAGATTGTGTGTGCTTCTAATTTGTTTATTTTAAAGCTGTAGTTAATTAATTCTCAGTCACTTTTCTTTTAACCTGGCTGCTACCAGTGCCTCACTGTCTTGTTGATTGACGTAATGCATGTTTGGAACTTTTCTAAGACTTCATGAGAAAGAGGAAGATAAATCTAGAATGCACTTCTGGTAGGACTTTATGGCATTAAATAGTATATTAGAAAGCTGTTTTCATTTGTTATCTCCTTTTTAACCCTTCAGTGCTTACAGAACTCTCTGAAGGATATGAAGGACGTCGGCTTTTTACAAGTGAAGGTTTTAAAGGCAGTTGATCTCTTAGCCGCAGATTTCTCAGGTATAGAACATTTTCATTTTTCAATTCATTTTTATTTGTGTTTACCTCCTGCTTTGAAATGGTCTTCTGGCAAAGCAAAATGCTCAATAAGTAAAAGTACGTATACAGTAATCATGCTCCTTCAGACAGAGTAATAGCAAAAAAGATGTCAATGAGCACTTTTTTACACATAATGCATAGTTTCCACAACATTAATTTTTTTCAAATAATTTTACTCTGATTCCATAATGTCCTAGTCTATTTGGGTTTCCAAGATATTTGTGGATTGTATCGCAAGTTCTTTATTTGTTAAATGAATTTTTCAGTCAGGCTTTTCCATGGTGCCTCAAATGACATTTATTTGACTCCTCACCTTCTCTTTCTGCAGCTCTCTGAGCTGAGTGCGTTTTACTCTTCACAGGAGAGAACACGTGGTTCATAAATCTGACCATGAAAGCAGACCTGGCTGGCGCCCTACCGTAACAATGACCAGAGTTTAGGCTCTGGGACCGCTCTGTGGTTGACATTGTCTTACAGGAAGTTTCTCTTGGAGCTTCATTAACTTGAACTTGTAGGTGGAGGCCAGAGCAGACCTGCTTTGTACTGAACTACGCTGTGCTGTGCATACAGTGATCCAGACATTCCAATGTCTGATCAGTGACTCCCGCTCTGTGGTTGACATTGTCTTACAGGAAGTTTCTCTTGGAGCTTCATTAACTTGAACTTGTAGGTGGAGGCCAGAGCAGACCTGCTTTGTGCTGAACTACGCTGTGCTGTGCATACAGTGATCCAGACATTCCAATGTCTGATCAGTGACTCCGTACTCATTGCCAAATTACCCCCTTGTGCTGCCTAACGATTCAGATGCCTGTATGATAAATGAGATTTACTGGCTAAATTGATGTGTACAAAGAGTTGACACAGAATTGCATTTTTTAATCTCTTATTTTTTAGAATGTAGTCTACTCTTTTTCTTACTTCCACACAGAGACAATTTTATTATATTTGTATAATCTCTACTTCTGAGATTAGGTTTCAGGTAGCTTAAACTTTGGAAAAGAAAATTTTAGTTTTCAGCACATTATATTACAAAAGTTATAGAAAAAGGAATTCTCCCTACCTTGCCTCAAAAAATGAACTGATAGAAATGATTATTTGATATGCTCTTAATATAAGGTGATCTTGACCTTAAAGAAATGCCCAGTGAGCAAATCCAATTTTTTTTTTTTTGGCCAGTTGAAAGATACAAATTCTGAGGGTTGTAGATGAAATACTTAATGATTACTTTTAATATCCATTGACATAGTTGCAAATGTTTATAGCATCCTATTAATTTAGAAATTCTCCTTTCTTTTTACTTAAATTTTATGAAAACATTCAACATTTCACATATGCCTTTGACAGTGAATTCAAATATTTCGCATGTCTCTCTGACGTTAGTGGTTTTTGCTGTCACTAAAGCACGTTTAGAGTTATCTGCTAGTTTTCCAGAGCAAATTATTTTCACTTCCATCTAAGTGTTTATATATAGCACTTTTTAAATCCACGATTGTTGCTGCCTCAGGAAATGCCTCAAGCCACAGGAACTCATTTATGCTTTCTAGCAGTATTTTTAAAAATTCCTTTGGTAAATGGTATATTTTGTGATCTCCTGCAACTAAGTGTAATGTATTCAAAGTTTTTTTAAAGGATTGCTTATAATGACATCTGTAGGTGGAAATGCATTTTTTACAACCACTTTTGTTTACCCATTCTTTCAGGTGACCTTGATAAAGCCTTCCAAAACTAGTGTTTTTGAAGGTTATTTCAGGCCACTGTATCATCTCCGTAGAAGACTTTGACTATTAAAATGAGTAGGAGTGGAACCTAAAAAAATGAGTCTTTGTAAATATAAGGCAAAGGAATAAAAAAATTATTCTTCCTTCTTTATGAAGAATTTTTTTAAAAAATATTGTTATTTTGTTGTTTTCTTTATATTCAAGGTGTTCACTAGGTAGTTTTGGAGTGGATGAAGTTGAGTACCACAGGGTTCCAGTAACAAAAATTTTAAAAAATATTGTTATTTTGTTGTTTTCTTTATATTCTAGTGTTCACTAGGTAGTTTTGGAGTGGATGAAGTTGAGTACCACAGGGTTCCAGTAACAAAAAGCAGTGGTTAGAAATGAAATAATGCTGTGTAGTTTGACTAAATGCCTTAATGTTTTACTATCTCTGTATTACTTATGATAAAATTATCACTATTCTGGATTGAGACAAAGTTATTTGTCATTAGCCAAACATGTCTTTGCAACATACTGATCTTTGTTTTGTAGAATCATATGTCACAGTGTATGTTCTGTGTACATTAGTAATCTCCCGTGTGAATCCCCCAGTGTGCTCCCAACCAGGGTATTGCTTTAGGGCAACAAAGTGGACCTAATCCAGACAGTTGTAATATAACTTTTATATGTGAAAAACAAAATTGATTTGGATTACAGTGAGGTGGCAATATGCATGCAATTAATAGCTCCTGGGGGTCAGTAATCATGGCTTGTAGGGACTCAGGCATTATTGCTGTATCATTATTGTTACCAATTCCCTTGGTATATCGTAAAAAAACAAAACAAAAAAACCCCCAAAAACCAGCATCACTTCATCATGAATCAGAAGAGACAAAAATCGTTGTCAGTGCCCAGAGCCCTTGAGAAATAAGTAACGATTTATACCCTGTACCCAGCATTTTCCAGTCAGCCTTACTTTATAAATGAGTATTCATTTCTTGCTCTTGCTCAGGGAACAAAGTATTCACTAGCAAATAAAAAAGAAATACCTTAACTCTAAATAACCAGGGACATTCTCTAAAGAAAGATGATCATTTTAGACAGGGTGCAAAAGAGAACTTTCTGTCCTTTCCACTTTTCTTTTAGCATGTACATTTTTACTTTGTGGTAGTTGCTTTTTTCTTGAAAACAACACCAAGTACCTACAATAATCGATGCTTCAAGTTTGTTTCCCTTAAGATTCAGGAATTCCGATGAAGCAAAAGTCCACAAGGATGGGTCTTGGCAGTCATCTATACAGAGGGTACAGTTACTGTTTGCAGGGCACAGGGACCTCACGTACTAGAGGAGGAATGAAGGCATGTGGTGAGCCCAGTTGTCAGTGACGTGCTGATTTTAAAGTCATCTATCTCTTTGCAAGTAACAATTGAAAATCAAGAATATGGGTCATTCAAGCCACTATGATCAAATTCAAAGGATATTCTTCCTTAGCTTTTATTGATGTTATAATTATATAGTCAAAAAAAGAAATTAAGCTTGGGAAAAATTAAACATTTGTTTCTATGCTAGTGTTTTAGAACATTGGAAAACTGTATATACTAAAGTGAATTTCTTTTCCATAAAAATGTTTTTCATATAAAGGAAAAAATTACTGTATACCTTTTCAAATGCGTTAAAAGATATTAATTATCTAAGTGTACATATGCTACCAATATTACAAAGGTAAAGGCTTTAATGTTCCAATGTATAAAAATACATATTTATTGTTTTTAATTATTAATTCATTCTTCTATAAGTATTCTATTTTATTGTGTGATTGAAGTTATCCATTATTAATAAATTTATATCTATCTTGGCATTTTTTGAGAGTTTCTGATGTTTGTATATAAGAGAGAAGACTTTTCTTCTTAAAAGAATCTGAGGTAATCTATCTTTCCCTGGAACCCATCTCTCTAAAATTGGTGAAAGAGAGAGTTTCTGATGTTTGTATATAAGAGAGAAGACTTTTCTTTTTAAAAGAATCTGAGGTAATCTATCTTTCCCTGGAACCCATCTCTCTAAAATTGGTGAAAGATATTTTAATGTTCTCAGGCCTATGCCAACATTAGATGTGGATAGCACTAAGCAGTTATTCTAATAGAAGGGCCTGTCAGAAATTTTTATTAAAGAGTTCACCTCACAAACTCCTTGTGCCCAATATAACCTAAAATCTTTAAAAATTTGGTTATCCAGTCTGATGTCATTACTTTTGTAGTAAACCAGGCCACAGCTTTGGTTCACGAAACAGATGATAAATTGTACTTTGAGACCCAAGGTGAACACAGCCATATGTAATGTTGGATGAGCTCAACATGCTTCACTCAGCTGCTGCTAGTTTTAAAATTCAGCTATTTTAAGAAAAAAAAAAAAAAACCCCATTGTAATGATTAAATGAGAGAGTGTTTTGTCTTCTCTTCAGGACAAAGCTGAAAAATGGTTAGTGTAACAGGTTCCCTATCTACCAGAGATGCTCTTGTGCAGAGAGGTGCTGTATACTCTACTTTGCCCAGGGGCACATTAGATTCATGAATTAATACTGCTGGAAGAAAATGCATAGTACATTTCATAAAGTATAAAAAGATAATAAAATAAACAATGGGTTAATAGGAAAATTGTTAGAGGATTGAAATGTTTTCTGATCAGAATCGTATCATATGTCAGTATGAATGACATTGCTTATCTTACCTGTTGGGCTGAAGAAGAGAAGGAAACTATCTTGCTATGCTCAGCACATGTATGCAGAACTGTTCAGGATAGCCTTGTAATAATTGATAGGGGGCTGGCAGGTTAACTCGGTTGGTTAGAGCACAGCCTTATAACACTAAGGTCACGGGTTCAGATCCCTGTACCAGCCAACCACCCCCCAAAAAAACATAAATAAATAATTGATAGGATGTTGTGGTGAAGCTGCCGGAATTGTAACCTGTGGGAGTTATTCAGCATATTAGGATTGAAACCATCATGGCCACCATTTGTGTAATGCGCATGCCAAAATTTAACATCTAGTCCATGATTCTTCTTTAGAAATCATTGAATCCAACCATGGTTTTATATATCTACCTCCCTATTAATTAAGCTTTCTCTTTATTAATTTTATTTTTTACAAGAATTCTTATATAGGACTCCCTTCTTCCTAAAGAATCTTTTGGTGGCAAAACAGGTTATTCTTCTGTCCCCCTCCACTTTATTCCTCCAACTCTCACTCTATTTCTGCTATCAGGA